TTTTTTTTTTTTTTTTTTTTTTTTTTTTTTTTTTTTTTTTTTTTTCTCTTTTTTTTTTTTTTTTTTTTTGTTTTTTTTCTTTTTTTTTTTAAATAATAATACAAAATCAGAATAACAAAATAATAAATGAGCCCATTTCACAAATTTGGGCCTAAATCAAACATAAAACCTTAAACAAGCCCAAGCAATACAAATAAATCCAACCCAATTGAAATTAAATCCAAACCCAATTAATAACTAATACCCAACCCACTTAATTATTAAACCAATTAACCCAAAAGCCCACTTAATTAATAATTCCTCAATGTGGCAGTGAGCGTCTTTCTCTTTGTCGCTGATTCGGCTGTCGGTGTTCACTGTTGTCAGACGTGAACCCTTCTCTGCGTGTCGTCGAGTCCGGTACCACCCATCACCGTTGGCGGCTTCTTCCTAGAATCGACAGTTCCCAACTACTTCTGTCTCAGGGGTCTCTCTTTGTGAACGACGGAGGATCGAGCTTGAGAGGCGGGTTCCATTTCTGTAAGTCCGAACAGTTTGCTTCAATTTTTGATTTACTGTGAGGCCTTGATTTCAGCGGTTGGATTGGTGATGTGTTTGGACGTGATTTGGGGAGAATTGCAGCGGCGGTTGTGGTGGGGCTGGGTGTTGACGGTTGCGGGCAGGAGGCGCTTTCGGTGGGGAGAATTGCAGCGGCGGTTCTGGGGGGGGATTTGCAGTTGCAGGAGGCGGTGTGATGTTAAACTGGAGTCTGCCGAAATTGATTATGAGCACTGGAACACATGCAAAGACGGTGAAGTGTTAACTGGATTCTGCAGAGACTGATTTGGAGCCACGCAGTGAACACCCAACTGTTTTCCCAAGTTTGCTCTGATACCAATTTGATGTAGTATCAATTAACAGAGAAAGAAGGAGGGGAGGGAAGAGGAGAACACAGAGACGGGGAAGAGGGGGAGAAGAGAAGGAAAACGGCTGCAAAATCAATTCTTTTAATTCATCAAATTCATCAATCCCAAATAACAATGTAAGATAGGTTTAAATACTGGAAAATAATGTAAACCTAGGGCCAAGCCCAATACACAAGTCCATAAAATTAAAATAACCTAACTTCCAACTAAAATAATTAAAATTGCTAAACTTAATTAAAAATGGATGTCCTCATCAAATACCCAAACACATATTTTGTAGGTTTTATTAAATTAGCATTTTCCAATCATAATCATGCGTAACATTTCACCAAGACTTTGTGGAAAACCTATATTTCTTGATGCAAGTAACAGAAGTCCTGAAAACAGCAAGTTTAAAGGAGGACTTTTCGGAATAATGCTGGCTCATTTGATGATATCTTATTAGTTCAAACATCACTCCATATTAGGGTCTTCACTATCAAATTTCAATTTGTTTCCCAGGTACTTCCGTAAATTCAAATTCCTATAGCCAGTCTTCGGTTGCAGTCCAGCTAAGTTTTAGTAATTCCAAATATCCAATAGGGTAGAATTGGTTTGATAGTCAATTTATTTGATTATTACCAATAAACCTGGTAGCATTAGAATAATAAAGATCTAGGTCTAAAACTCGTAATTCTTATACTCAAACCGTTACATATCTTGTTACTGAGTTCATGTAGAGCTGTGAAGATTTAATTGCAATTATTTGACACCCTTCTTTCAGTTGCAGTTTAACACTAACTGTTCCAAATTCAAGATAATCTCGTAATCCATATTTAGCATTCATTTGAATGAAATAAAGATATGAACAAAGACAGATGATCAATATGGACTATCAAACAAATTAAAAGCAAGAGCCACCTTGAAAAATTGAATCCAAAACCAAGTTAATTCTAATAATCCTAACAGAGAATCAACTCAATAATTAGAGTAATAGTCGAGGGAGGTTGGAGTATAAAGAAAAGCTTACAAATAAAGCATTTCCCCCGCCTTGACTGTAACTTCAAATGGCTTTGGTCCATCGAAGTACAAAGGAAACTTATCAAATTCTCTCTGTATCTCCTCATGTAAGGGGTATGGATCCACACTAGACCATGGCACGACCCTAATCGGATCCTCTAGCTCCAGTGTAAATTCTCCAGTATCCTTTAAAGAAAACAACATAGACAGTGTCAAGACCCTATCCAGACTACTAATCAAAAGTATATCCTATCCAAGTTAGAGATATCCTTCTCTTCCACCGATACACAGCAAATACATAAATATGAAGATTCCATTCCACCTCCCAAAGTTCATATTTCCAATATCCAATCAATAATTAGAGACTTTCTTCGACAAGATCATCTATAAACTAAGAACTATAGAGGCAAATCTAACGAGTATGCATTATTATTAGGAGTTAGATCATATGCTATACAAGTAGCACAGAGACAGACAAATTACTAGCAAGTAGCAATTAAACATTCGCGCAGGCGAAGAAAAAAAGATTGAAAATTGGAACCTGATGATATTGATATCGAGCAGCCGGATACTCACGGACGTACATTCTGTGAAAATCAGTAGGAGGAAGCAGTAGGAAATGCTTCTCCCCAGTTACAACAGCATAAAGATTCTCATAATGATCCTTATGAAACGAAGTTTCCGAAAAATGGTTCCCAATCCACAAATTCACAGCCTCAGGCCGGCACCCCAGTGCCTCACTCGCCCAAGGAATATCCTCTTCACAATCCCTCGACAAAGCCCCATACTCGGCACGAAAACAGTCATTCTGTTCCTGCAAATACGACACCTGCTTAGAGTCCGAGTCGAGTACCCTATCCAATGCCTGTTCAAAAGGGAGGGTTTGGACATGGGCGGATGCAAAGCAGAGAGAGGAAGGGGAAGTGGGGTGTGGGGTTAGGGAATCAGCGCGGCCGGTTGGAGTGAGGTGGAGGGATACAGGGGTGGAGGAGAGGGTGTCCCGGAGGTAGGAGGTGGAGGGCCACAAGGAGAGGGCGGGCCAGTGGTGGGTTGCGGCGGAAATGAGGCAGGGCTTGTTTGGGTTGACGTAGTCACGGAGGAATTGGAGGGGAGTGGGTGGGGTGCGTAGGTGGTCGACTTTGGGTGGATTGCCTAAGCTTAGGTCCCTCAATTCTTGCCATAGATTCTGTATTTTTTCTTCAACCTCCATTGTTGAAACCTTTTGTCTCTGTTTGCTACTCCCTACAGTGTAAGTCAACATCAAACCGAGTTTAGTCTAATTATACCTTTTATGCCCTTGTTTGGTGGCATTTATTTATTTATTTTTTGAAAAACATTACATTGAATAGTGAATTTTTGAAAAATGTGAAGTTAAAATATTGAAAAAAAATTGGGTTAAAATATAAAATATTTTATTGTGTAAATTTGTAATAAAAAATGAACATATAAAAATGAATTTTAAAAAATGAATAAACAGAGACTTGCAAAGTGGGACGAGCAGAATCGAATTTAGTATAACGAGACCTTTCAAGTAGGGGTGGGATCGTTTATTTATGGAGTGAATTAAATGATTAATCATCAACTTTTACCTTTAATTAATACTTGCTCACTAAAAAATAAAGTTATATTGTTCACTTATTTTTATATAACGTTACCTATCCTTCACCCATATCAATCCCATTCGTTCACGATGAAAATCCAACGCGACAACAAATTTTGTTAAAACTTGAGAATTAATTAAATGATATTTATTTTTTTTATTACTGCTTGTTGACTCGAATATAAAATATTACTAATTAATATTATCCATCCATCATCTATCTCAATTTCATTTTTATATTGTTCGATTTGTTTATAGGATTTAAAAAAAAAAAAAATTCTTGTACATTTCACATTGTACATGAAGTTTGACATGCTTTGTAAATTCAAAATGTTGTTGGCGGGAAAGTGTGTAGTTTTTAAAAACTGTCTAATCATGCTACTGAAAGAATTTTGAATGGAAAGATTTCTAGCTTCATACTCGACTCGAAGAATGTTTCTCATATATATACACTTGAAATGATAATTACAAGAGTTTAAAAAAAAAAAAAAAAAAAAAAAAAAAAAATAAGAATCTCGGATGTAAGTAACAAACTAATAAACTGAAACATTCAAAATTTAAACATCCAAAGATAAGGTTTGTTGGGTTGTTAGGACTGAATATTAGGAGCTGTTTCAAAGAATAACTCAGTAATCTTTACGGATGTGTTAGGTGTAAGATTCTGTCTAACATCTCTCCTAAGCTGAAAGGGGGAAGACCCACCTGAAGCTTGTCCCGAAGCAGACAGAAGCGAGCAGAACTTAAGCCCTTAGTAAAAACATCTGATATTGGGTAGAAAAAAATTGAAGAGCAATATCCTTATTAGCAACCTTTTCCCCAATGAAATGAAAATCCACCTCTATGTGTTTAGTTCTAGCATGAAACATTGGATTAAAGGCCAAGGCTAGAGCACCGATATTATCACACCAAAGGGTAGGAGGTTGAGAAAGAGGAATGGAGAGAGCTTGAAGAAGTATGCGGGTCCAATAGAGTTCTGCAGTGGCAAAGGCTAGGGCACGGTACTCAGCCTTTGTATTGGACCTAGCCACAATAGGTTGTTCTTAGCTGACCAAGAAATCAAGCATGAGACAAGATAGATACCAAAACTTGTTGTAGAACGACGATCATCTGGATTGCCTGCCTAATTCGAGTCATGAAAGGCTTGAAGGGACAATGAGCCTTTAGTATACCATAAACCATGGTGAATAGTGCCCTTGAGATAGCAAAGAACTCTCTTAGCTGCTGACCAGTGAGAAGATGTAGGGCTGTGCTTGAATTGACAAAGTTGGTTGACAAAAAAGGCAATATCTGAGTGAGTAAGGGTGCAGTATTGAAGAGCCCCAACAATTTGCCTATATTCTATCACCTGTGCAGCAGCAAGGGATTCGCCATCTGAGGCAGAAAGTTGAAGTCCAGAGGAGTAAGGAGAAGAGTAAGGCTTGGCACTAGCCATTTTACTGCGATGAAGAAGGTAATTGATATATTTGGTTTGTCTTAAGTGTAAATTGGAAGCATCACGGTGAACTTGAATGCCAAGAAAGTAATTCAAGTCACCAAGGTCCTTCATTTTGAACTCAAGCTGCAGTCGACTAATAAGGGAGGAAATATGAGATGGATGAGTCCCTGTCATCAACATAGATAAGAAAGAACAAGTGGACATCACCCTTGTAATAAACAAATAAGGAGGAATCCACAGTAGAAGAAATAAAGCCAAACTCCAAAAGAGATTTAGATAGCTTCAAAAACTAGGCCCGATGAGCCTGTTTAAGGCTATATAAAGACTTCTTGAGATGACAAACATAGTTAGGAAAATTTGGATTGATAAATCCCTTAGGTTGCTCCATATAAACTTCTCCTGGTAAAACTCCATGTAAAAATGCATCAAAGACATCCAGCTGAGTGATATTCCAATCAAAATGTATAGTAAGAGCAAGTACAATACGAATAGTGGCCGGTTTAATAACTGGACTAAAGGTCTCATTATAGTCTATACCCATCTTTCGTTGATAACCGTGGCCACCAGCCTAGCCTTAAGCATATCCAATTTACTTGTAGAAGTCTGTTTAGCCTTGTAAATCCATTTGTGATCTAGAACATGATGATCCGCTGGTTGAGGACAAAGCTCATAGGTTTCATTGGCTATTAATGCATCATACTCCTCTTGCATAGCATGACACCAAATAGGATCAAGAGAGGCCTGTTTGTAAGAACTAAGTTCAAGTAGTACCATAGTACTGGAGAGGACCATAGGTAGGTGTTTAGTGGATTAGAAGGAGATGAAGTTAGGAAATTCTTTGGTTCTAAGAGTACCAGTTTGGTATCTAGTGGTTATGGGATGTATCCTAGGAGGTTGAAGAGTATGGGATGTGGAAGGAGTGTTGGGTGAGGCTGATGGATCATATTCATCCTCGGTATTAGGGAGAGAATGAATATCAAGAGTAGAATCACTGTCAAGGAAGGAGGTGTTTGGAAATAGAGGGACTCTAGGAGTAGGAGGTTTAAGTGCAATGGAAGTAGTGTGAGCCTAGACACGTGATGTAGAAGAGTAATGAACAGGGACACTAGGAGAGGGAGATTCAATTGTTAGAGGAGTGTGGTTAGGTGGAGGGAAAGTAGGAGGAGATAATGACAAATCAAAATTTGAGAGAAAATGGATAGGGTCAGATGTACCTACTGAGGAAGACAAGCTGTTGGAGGTAAGGAAGGACTACAATTTTTCAGCTGTAGGAAATTTAGATTCATCGAAAACCACATGCCAAGACACATAAATTCTGTTTGATTGCGAATCAAGACACCTATACCCTTTCTGATTTGCACCATAACCTAGAAAGATACATCTCCTAGTGCGAAACATGAGTTTGTTGGAAGAATAAGGCCTAAGAAGTGGATAACACGTACAACCAAAGGTTCTAAGTGATGTATAATCAAGATGTTTACCAAAAATTTTGAAGGGGAGTGATAATTTAGGACAGCAGTGGGAAGCTGATTGATGAGATAGATGGAGGTCAAGAAAGCATCAACCCAATAAGTAGGAGATAAATGAGCTTGGGCCAATAAAGTTAATCCCATTTGAGCAACAGGTCGATGTTTTCTCTCAGCTATCCCATTTTGTTGAGGGGTATGTGGACATGTAACACGATGAAGGACTCCATTATTTTGAAGGAAGTGCTGAAAGTGGTTAGACATATATTCACCACCACCATCAGTTTGGAGTTGCTTGATTTTACAAGATAATTGATTTTCAATAAGGAGTTTAAACTTAACAAAACAAGCACAGACATCTGATTTGTTTGGAATAGGATAAAGCGAAGAAAACCTAGAATAATCATCAATGATTATAACATAATAACGACAACCATTAAGAGATTTAGTTGAACAAGACCATACATCTGAATGAATAAGTTCTAAAAGAGAACTTGTCGGACGAGTGGAATTAAGAAAAGGAAGTTGTTTACCCTTGCCAAACTGGCATGGTTCACACACTTCTAATTTATTGATAGAGCCATCAAAAGGTAACGAAAAAGTGTTCAACAAATGAGATACAATAGAATTCGAAGGATGCCCTAGTCTAGAATGCCAAACTGAAGCCAAAGCTTTGACACCTATTGTAGCTGCCATGGCAAGTGGCTTATTGAAAGCTAAATTCTGCAACTTTAGAGGATAGAGTCCCCCACTACTCTTGCCTTCCAACAATGTCTGCCTCGTGCGATTGTGTCTGCCCCGTGCGATTGTCCTTAACAAAAGAATGAGTACTGGTGAGAATAAAGAAACAGTGATTATCTAGACAGAATTTGTTAATAGATAATAAATTTACACAGGCTTGAGGATAGTGAAGAACATGATTAAGTTTGAGTTTGGAGAAAGGAGTATGAAGAGCAGTAGAACCAGTATTATGGATACTCAAACCTTGTCCATTACCAACAGCTACATTCTCTTGACTTGCATAGGGTTGATGAAAAGTGAACTGCTCAAGATTGCATGTGATGTGTTGGTTAGCTCCACTATCAGCAAACCAAGGTTCTTCATCATTTTTTGCAGCATTGGATTGAGCTACCATGGCTGCCAACTGAGTAGGAGGGTGACGACCTTGGTACGCATAATCCATGTAATGGAAGCAATCAAGAGCTCTGTGGTTAGACTTTCCACAGATCTGACATGGTGACCGTGGGACATTAAAAGTCTTCTATTGGTTGGGTTTTGGAAAGTTGTATGTTTGCTGGTTTGGTTTGAGGGGCTATTGGTGAACTATTTGGGAGGATTGGCTTGTGCTGAGGGGTTAAATGAGGGCTGATTTGGTTTTCCAGGGTACTTGGGCTTACGACTAAAGTGCTGATGATAGGTTTGTTGCTGGACATGTTGGGACTTGAGAGCAAAGAGGGAAAAATTATTAGTATCAGGAGGAATAGTCTTAAGCTGGTGTTCGAGCAAGAGTTCATTAGATTGCAACTTAGCTTGAAAATCTTCAAAGGACAGTGATCTATCCCTAGATGCTATAGAAATAGGGGTAATAAAAGGTCTAAAGCAGGTATTCAAACTAGCCTGCACGTAGGAGATAAGATCATCATCATCAATAATCTTCCCAATTGCTCGCAGTTCAGCTACTATTTCCTTTGCTTCATCAAGATAGGTGGAACAACTCCTTGATCCTTGAGAGAAAGATTAGAGTCTTCTTTTTTAGATG